CGGAAGGGGGCAGCCGAGCCCGCAGCCGGCTCCTTCGGCCTGGGCTAGGATGTGGCGCGGGGCTGCAGACGCGGTGCCCGGCACCGAAGCAGCCTGGGCTCCCCCCGATAAGGTGCGGGGGAGCGCTGAGCTGGCGCTGCCTGGCAAGAAACTTTTGCTGGCTCCCTCCTTCTGCTTTTTTTTTTCCCCCGGAGGTGGGTGCACAGCGGTGGGGGACCTCGAATCTATGTGCCCCTCCCCCCAAGCCTCCAGCAATGCCAGTTTTGACGCGTCCGCCAAACCTCTCCAGCCCCCCTGCGCGCCCCTTGCACGGCAGGCGGAGAGAGCTGCTTGGAAAAGAAATCAACTCTCCAGTGCCAAGACACACGCACATGCACACGCACACGCACACCAGAAGCAATTCAGGCTCTGAGGATCTGGGTCCGATCCCCACCAGGCGCCCAGAGCATTAGCAAATTTTATAACGGCGATCTTACCTCATGGGGGGAGGCTGTTTTAAAAAAAAAAAGCTTGTCACGCTCAAGGAAAAAAGAAAATAAAGAAAAAACCTGAAAAAGAAAATATATCCTTCTGTCTCTTCAGGTTTTGGCTTCTTCGATACAATCCTGAAACTCGCCCCCACCGGTCCTTGCAGCAGCGGCAGCGGCAGCGGCAGCGACAGCAGCAGCGGGACGGAGCGGGAGCAAAACAAATCGAGGCACGGCAAATGGTGTAATTCGATCCATCTCCAAGTCAATCCATCAGGCGAGCCGAGCCTCGTTCCCTCCCCGCACTCGGCAGCTCGCGGCGCGGAGCCCACCCCCGGGCGCGGACGGCAGGAGGCGCGGGCGGCCCGGCGGGTTCGCCCTCGCCCGAGCGCCGCGGCCAGCGCCGCCTGGAGGCCCCCAGGCCGGCGCCGCGGCCCCGCTGACCCCGCGGTGGCCTCCGCGTCCCTCCTCCCCCGCGCTCTGCTGTGCGCCCTCCCTCTCGCCACCTCTGAAGAGCTGCTCCTTCCAGCAACTCCCGGCGCCTCAGTCATCCAGCTCTCGGCGGCTGCAGCAGCCTGCGAAGCAGCCTTTTTGCTTTCCTCCCTCTTTCCCTCTTCTCGCTCGCTCCCTCACTTTTTTAGAGCTTTCCTCCAGACGTCTAGAGGACAAATCATTGCAGCCCAGAGGAGCTGCAGGCACAGTTAGTTGCTCCGTAAAGTTCTGCCTTAGTTTCCTAATCTAAGATTTATATTTCAAGCACATCCTTACAAACCTGCCCCCGTATTACCTTTCTCGCCACCCTCCCCCATCTCCTTATAACCACTAAGCAAAACAGCTGGGAAGAAGCAATCAAACACTGTTTTATCTTTATAAAATACAAAAATTGCCTGCTAAAAATCCCATTTCTACTTTGAATGAAAGCCATTCAGTACAGTATAATTTTGCAGACTAATGAGCCGGTTTTACAGGCAAGCGTTTCGTGTAATATGTTGTGGGAGAAATGAAAATGTCCTTGAAGTGACATCATTTAAAATTGACTGTCACAAATGAAAGAAAAAAAAGTCATATATTTAAAAGCAAGGGGACTTTAATCCAAATTCATATCTAAGAATGGGCTGTGTTTTATTAAAATTTCCAGTTGAATTATGAATCACTGAGGGCTCTAAATGGCTGGAATGAACCATGATGCCCTTATTTAGAGAAGAAGAAAGAAGAGAGCTTTTCCGCCAAACTTTTAATTTTCATTTGCGTATGGTTAATTACCATGAAAGAGAGGAGAAGTAGGCAGAGAAAGGAGTTTCCTTTCCTCAATGGTTCTTGCACAGTTACATGTTTACCTTTAGGAAAATAACCCTGATGTGAGTTATTTCTGAAACTTCCACTGACAGCCTTGAAAAGGAACTCAAAAAAGACACCCCAAGGAACTGCTGCCGGACTCATCCGGAGAACTGTTTCCTCACTAGTTTACACTTTGTTACCAAAAGGAAGGAGGAGGGAGGAGGGGGGGGGTCTTATAAAATATAAACTCTTCCTGCTGTTCTTCCTATTTAAGAAAAAGGGTGGCGGGAGGCGGAAAGAACAGCTTTGGCAACACGGCTTTGTGATTTTTCTATTGCTGTTAAGGCTTTTGTTGGCTGGCTGGCTGGCGTTTTGGGGTTGTGCTGGGTTCTGACATCACTGCAAGTTACTTGGCAGTCAGGGCCCTTCCGCAGCCAACTTCTGACCCAGAAAGCTGTGTCTGTTTTACTGGTGTCCAGTCATTCCGTATTTTCTCCATCAAGAAAGCAAGCCCTGCTGCAGGCAGAGGGCTCTGTGCACTGAATGAAGATGCAACGGGGTGACCGGTGGCTTGATGAGGAATCCAATCGCCACCCACCTGGAGGCAGAAAGCTTGGAAAGTGTCCTCTGCAGTAGCAGCAAAGAGAAAAGGCAGTCCTGCAGATTCTTGAATTCTTTGCTGAAATTCTGCGATGGCCAACTTTACAGAGCACCACCCCAGAAAGTGCACTTTATCCTAGAATGAGTTCTTAAATCCAGGAATAAAAACACCTTTTAGCTTGCAGAAGAATATGCTGATAGGTCATTTCAAGCCAAGGACTAGATATGTTTTCAGTCTCAGTATCAGTCTAGGCCTCAGAGCCAATCCCCTTGTTTGGTCTAATAGGGTAAGAGAGGTAGGGACGTGGACAACCTACTGACATTGAAAGAATGGTACCCTTTATCTCTTGGTCAGATCAAAATACTACTTTTCAGAATTCATCATTTTCCTGGTTCTCAAAATCTTGAAAGTCAGAAAAATGATACTTTTTATTTGGATTTTAGTGGAAGAAGTCTAAGGAAATTGCTCACTCCATATAGTTTATTAGCATTTGGTCCTTTCAGTTGATTTTATACACTTTTAACTTGTTAGCCCTGTTTACTTCTCTGGTCCGACTTGCCCACTGCCCCCTGCATGCTTTAGGCTCCAGCACTGCCCTTCTGCATGTGGTCCCCCACTATGTCACACTGTTTCACATCTCCATGTCTTCACTTACGGTGTCTGCTCTCTGGTGGACTCTTTCTCCATCATTTTCTGTACTTTAACTTCTGCTTTTCTTGACTTTTAACAGAAATCTCATTTCGGTGTCAGAATTTCCCTCATCCCACGAGCCACCAGGATGGGTCGAAGCAGCTCTCTTCTGTGCACTCCTAGCAAGTTCACTTATGTAACTTACCAAATCGGAGGGAAAATAACTGTTTAGGACGTCTTCCCTGCTGAGTGCTTACCTGCAAGGATCTTGTCTTACCTGGACAGCCCCAGTGCCTAGCATTTAACGGGCACTCAATAAACACTTGTTAAACAGATCTGGCAGTGGCATCCACAACTTTCTCATACTCTTTGATGTGCTGAACCAGAGAGTATAGTCATCTCTCCACTGTATGCCCCTCTCGAGTAGAAATTTTTTCACCTGTGTCTTCAGGGCAAGCACAGTATCCGTGTCAGGACATTCCTCGAATGAGTGAAGAATGAATGAATAAATGAGTGAATGAATGAGCAAATACAGGAAGGAAAGAAGGAAGATATCTGACTCTTTTCACATCCGGAAAGAATACTTGAAGTGGTCGGTGCTATAGACGGTTAGTGATTATGCTTCTGTGCTATCTGCATACATCTCTCATCAGTCAGAAGTAGTAACTTGATTAACAATGTATTTTTTGTTTGTTTGCTTACTTTAGGAAAAGTTTAGAATTTTATTTCTATGTTTGATTTCCAATCTAGTTTTAAGAAGAAAATCTATCTGAAAATTACAGAAAATCTGCATGTAATACTCCAAAAAGTTTGTCAGTCATCAGAGGGTACCACGCCTTAACTATTAGAGTTATTCAGCAAAGCATTAGTGCTCACTATGTGCCAAGCTCTTCTAAGCATTTCATGAATATTAATGCTCACAACACTTCTATGGGATACGAACTATTGTTATCTTCATTTTGTAAAAGAGGAAACTGAGACTTAGAGAGTTTAAGTGACTTGCCTGGGGCTACACAGGTACCAACTGCATAGGATCTGAACCCTAACCTCTTACTTAGGTGTAATAGTGGTTAACAGTGAGGTCACAGGTAACAGCAGTAGTAAACAGTGAAGGCTTTGGAAACTTTTGACAACTTGGATTCAAATCCAGACTTCCCCCTCTCTAGGTATAATTTATTTAACTACGCTCTGCGTCAGTCTTCTCATCTGTGAAACAGGAGTCATAACAATACTTCAAATGGATTTTTTGAAGGATGAATGTGATAACGCATGTAAAGTGTTTAGCACCTTACCTGAAACACAGCAAGCACTGAATAAATATTAGCCAATGTTATTATACATGCCCCGTAGGCAGTGCAGTCTTGGAATCCTGCAGAATTGGATGAGAAACTTAATCCAACCTCACATTAAATGTGAGACTTAGGGTACAAGCACATGGTACACAATAGGTTTGCAGTAAATTTTTGATCTATTCCATCTCCTCCATTCCCTCATTTCAGTGTATATATCTATTAATTCAAATACACGCACTACTCACTATTCAGTTGATACGAAATAACATTTTGTATGAATTTTAATGAATAATACAGTTTAGAATGTAGAATTTCATGTTTCAAAATAAAAAGATAGAGGCATTGAAATCTCACAGGTAGCTACAGCTCATGTGCTTACTTCAATTTGGAATGCACATATAGTATTCCTTGCATTCGCACATTACAGAAAGTGCTTTTGTGGCAAGGGATTGCTTTCAGAACTAATCTAAGCTCTCCATGACACGATAAATCATTAATAATATAGCCCCAGATCTCGGCATCTGCATAGGCACAGCTGGTCTCCTTGTGTCAACAGTCTGCATATGAAAGTGACTCTGCCAAGATATTTCACTTTAATGAAAAATATTTATCATGGTGAATCTTAAACCTCAAGATTTTACTGACATAATTCATTTCTATTATTATGTACTATGATAGTACACCACCACAGCTAGCTTATGTGTGGAATGATAAAAAATATGCTTTTTTAGTCATTATGATTACTCTAGCTTAGATGAATAATTTTGCTGTACACTGAGTAAGGGGAGGCACCATGCATTTATGGAAATAATAAATCAGTTCTTTTTCTAGTTTGGCTAATGACTCCTCAGGTGCCACTGTGTGGAAGGACACTGAGTGCTCACGCCAAATAAAAAAGAATCAGGCTTTTTAAATTTTTCCGTCAGAAAGATGAACAGCAAAGTCTTTAATAACACCAGCTCTTCTGAAAACAGACAAGAGACAGGAATGCTATCGTCATTTTATCAGAGATCTTTTGAACAAACAGGAGCAAAATAAACTTTCAGAGGGAGAGTCAAATAGAAAGGTGGTAACTCGGTTTGAGTCGCTTAATTTTACTTACGTGTACTTTGGGAAGGAATACTCAGGACACAGGGATGCCAGCTTACATCCCGGCAGATGTAAGGCAGCTGAGACTGTGTAAGTTCCTGGCAGCCTTCTTTCCACAAATTTACAGTAAGCAAGCCTCTGACCTTGAAGAACTGGGGCTGAAGAGTATCTCTGAAATGTTAGGATGTTTTAACAAAGGAGAAAGATAATGGAAATAGCCAAAAGGGGTAGAGAATTGGAACATTTTATCTGTTTTTAAAAATATATAACTTAGAATTTGGTTTTAAAAATAAACCTTCTTGCCTAGTTTTTTTTTTTTTTTTTTTTTTTAGCTTAAGCCAATGTCAAAGTTCAAATCAACAAAAGGAGAAGGAACTAACTGTGGTTAGTCAGGTACTATCTAGTAGTGTCACTTAATTCTTACCACAGCTCTTGGAGACGGGCATCATTCAGAAACAAAAAAACCATGCTTGTTTTTTCCTTCTTGTATATATGTGTGTGTGTGCGTGTGTGTGTATATATATATATATATATATATATATATATACAGAGATCTTTTGAACAAACAGGAGCAAAATAAACTTTTTGTATATATATATATACACACACACACACATTTCATTGAAGTTTGCTTGTTTGAGTTAACCATCTTGTCAGGATTTTTAGTCCTAGTAGATGATGGAGTCTAGAGTCTAACACAGATCCATTTTGCTCTCAAGCCTAATTTTTTTTTAATTGAAGTACAGTTGATTTACAAAGTTGCCTTAGTTTCTGGTGTACAGCATACCGATTCAGTTATATATATTCTTTTTCATATTCTGTATCGTTACAGGTTATTGCAAGATATTGACTATAGTTTCCTGTGCTAAACAGTAAGACCTTGTTGTTTATCTATTTTATATACAGTAGTTAGTATCTGCAAATCCCAAACTCCTAATTTATCCCTCCCTGCCCCTCTTTTTTCCCCTCTGGTAACCACAAGTTTGTTTTCTATGTCTGTGAATCTGTTTGTTTTGTAAGTAAGTTCACTTGTGCCATTTTTTTAGATGCCACATATAAGTGATATCATATAATATTTGTCTTTCTCTGTCTGACTTACTTCACTTAGTACGATAATCTCTAGGTCCTTCCAGGTTGCTGGAAATGTCAAGCCTAATTTTCTTTCTAGGACACTATGCTATGAAAAATGAAAAAAGCATAGGTTTGGAAAAGTATGTCTTGGATAATAAAGGAAGTAAAAATATTTAAAAACCCCCAACCAGACACTCAAAGCTAAAAGGCACGCTTCAATTTCTAATTCCTTGATAGTTTTTGCTTGTCACATACAAACTAGTGTTAGGAACCCTTGGATGGGGTTCATAGCATGGTTTAAACCTCTGTACATTATATGCATTCTATTACTCATGTAACTTCTCTCACTTGTAAATAAAGAGAAGAAAAGACCTAGTTAGCAGCATGTGAATATGTGTTAAAATAAACCTCACTGGTTAAGCTACACGTTTCAATAAATGGATTAATGGTTAGGGCCATGTGATAGTACCTTTTGGAAAGAAAGAAAGAAAGAAAGAAGGAAAGAAAAGAAGGAAGGAAGGAAGGAAGGAAGGAAG